TTCATCGGCTCCATCGATCTGCCTATCACCATCGGCGAGCACCCGCGGCAGACCACCAAGTTGCTCACCTTCCTTGTGGTCGACTGCCCCTCCGCTTACAACATTATCCTTGGCCGCACAGCCCTAAATGCCTTCCAAGCCATCACTTCCACATATCATCTGGCCATGAAATTTTCCACCGATCTCGGCGTCGGAACTGTCAAAGGCGAACAAACCATGGCCAGGGAGTGTTATGTCGCCTCTCTCAAAGAAGTCAAGCTAAAAGAGGCCATGATCATCGAAGGGCTTGACGTCCGAGACGAGGACGAGCTGGTCAGAGGTGAACCTGTAGAGGAACTTGTTGAAGTCAACATCGACCCCACCAACCCAATCAGAACTGCCAGGATTGGCAGCCAATTACCCGCCCAGGCCAAGGCCGACCTTACTGCTCTCTTAACCGAGCACAGAGATGTCTTCGCCTGGACCCACTCTGACATGCCAGGCATCGACCCCTCCTTCATAACCCATCGCCTCAGCATCGAACCCTATTTTCGACCCCACCGCCAGAAACAACGCATTTTTCATCCGGAGCGCAACACCCTTATAGTCGCCGAAGTTGACAAACTCCTCGAGGCCCAATTCATCAAAAACGTGGACTATCCTCGATGGCTGTCCAATGTGGTCCTCGTCCGCAAACACAATGGCAGGTGGCGACTCTGTGTCGACTACTCTGACCTGAACCGAGCTTGTCCCAAAGACAGCTACCCCCTTCCCCGCATAGATCTGCTGGTCGACGCCACAGCCGGTCATCAAATGCTCAGCTTCATGGATGCCTTCTCTGGATACAACCAAATCTTGATGCACACATCTGACCAGGAGCACACATCATTTATTACCGACCGAGGTACCTACCACTACTGTGTAATGCCGTTCGGATTGAAGAATGCTGGGGCCACTTATCAGCGGCTGGTTAACACCATTTTCCATCACCAAATGGGACGGAATATGGAAGTCTACGTCGACGACATGCTAGTCAAAAGCAAGTACTCCGATCACCTTACTGATTTACGTGAGACCTTCGCTACCTTGCGCAAATACCAGATGAAGCTCAACCCAGAGAAGTGCGCCTTCGGCGTAGGGTCTGGCAAATTTTTGGGCTTTATTGTCAGTCAGCGCGGCATCGAGGCTAACCCTGAGAAGATCAAGGCTTTAGTCGAGATGCAGTCGCCGAGGACGGTCAAAGAAGTTCAGAGGCTCACCGGCCTAGTGGCGGCCCTTAACCGCTTCATATCTCGTGCGACAGATAAGTGCTTGCCCTTCTTCAAAGTTCTTCGGCAGACTTTTGAATGGACAGCTGAATCCGAGGAGGCCTTCCAACAGTTAAAACAATGCATGGCCAACCCCCCCTTCTCTCCCAAGCAATCACGGGCGAACCCCTCTTTCTCTACCTAGTAGTATCAGGAACCGCAGTCAGTGCAGCTCTCCTTCGAGAAGATGGCTCGGTCCAACGACCGGTCTATTACATTAGCCGAGCTCTCAGGGGCGCGGAGCAGAACTACCCCTTGCTGGAAAAACTGTCCCTGGCCTTGGTCATTGCCTCTAGACGACTCCGCCCATACTTCCAAGCCCACTCTATAGTGGTCCTCACCGACCAGCCCCTGAAGAAAGTCATGCAGCAGCCAGAACTCTCAGGCAGACTGATACAGTGGTCCGTAGAACTCAGCCAGTTTGACATCTCTTATCGCCCTCGGACAGCAATCAAGGGGCAGGCTGTAGCTGACTTCATCATGGAGTTCACCAGGCCAACCCCAACCACCACACCTCCGCCCCTATCAGCTCCAACAGAGCCAGAAGATCCTCATTCTTGGACTCTCAATGTTGACGGGTCGTCCCGAAGAGAAGGAAGCGGTGCCGGCCTCATCCTCACCTCTCCTGAGGGCGGCCACTTCAAATGTGCCCTCCGTTTCCTGTTTGAAGCAACCAACAATGAAGCCGAGTACGAGGCACGAATAGCAGGACTCCACCTTGCCAAGGACATAGGGGTCAGCCACCTCCGAGTTTTCAGCGACTCCCAACTCGTCGTCGGTCAGATGACGGGGGACTTTGACGCCAAAGACGATACGATGCGAGCTTACAGAGACCTGGCACTCCCCCTTGCTCGCCTCTTCACTACCTTCCACATCAGGCATATTCCTCGGGCAGAAAACTCCAAAGCAGATGAGATGGCTCAATTGGCCTCGGCTGACCATCCCACCCTCAGCCATGATGTCCGCGTTGAATATCTACACCACCCGGTCGTTTCACCTGATCTACAAGCCATACAGTGCATTCAAAATGAACCTGTCCCTTGGGCGTCCGACATCCTCATATTCTTGACCACAGGAGCACTCCCAGATGACCAGCTGCAGGCTTCCAAAGTCCGATCCCGCGCCTCCAATTACGTCCTTATCGACGATATATTGTACAAACGCGGCTTCTCCCGGCCAAATCTACGGTGCCTCAATCCAGCGCAAGCAACTTACGTAATGCAGGAGATCCATGAGGGAATTTGTGGCAATCACTCAGGAGGCAGATCCCTTGCCCAGAAGATACTCCGTACTGGGTACTTTTGGCCAACTCTCAATCAGGATGCGACCGACTTCGTGCTCAAATGCGATAAATGTCAACGCATCGCCAACATCCCTCACGTCCCTCCCACAGAGTTGATCACACTCTACAGCCCTTATCCGTTTGCCAAGTGGGGGATCGACCTGGTCGGTCCGCTTCCCACCGGTCGAGGTCAGACCAAGTTCGCGATCGTTGCCATTGATTACTTCACCAAATGGGTCGAGGCTGAACCCCTTGCCACAATCACCGAGCGGAACACCACCAGGTTTATCTGGCAATCGATCATTTGCCGATTTGGCATCCCTCAAGCCATCATCTCTGACAACGGCAAACAATTCGATAACACGAAGTACAGAAAATTTTGTGCAGATCTCTAGATTCAACCGTGCTTACCGAGGTACCTACCGCTACTGTGTAATGCCGTTCGGATTGAAGAATGCTGGGGCCACTTATCAGCGGCTGGTTAACACCGTTTT